AATCCTACTCCCAATTGAATAGAATATTAGACCTGCCTGTCAACCCACCTAATTGTGTTATTTCCATCTTGTATATTTACTGAGGATTAAAACGGCATGCCGGTCGACTCAAGCGGTTTGTCAAACTCAAGAGCTAAATAAATCACACAAGCTGCTGATTAAACCTACTTTAGTATTTTCCCATACACTTTTTCGTAGATCAAAAATAAATTTCGGCTTAAATATCGATATGGCGGGTAAAGTATCGATGTTTTCGATATATCGACCTTGGGATATCGATTCAAAAAATCGATTATCGTGCCATGAAATATCGATATTCAGAATAATCGATACAATATCGAACATTCCTAATTGGGAGTAGGATTCTCAACAACGATTTTTCCGATATCGATATTGTGCAGCCCGATATATCGCCATATCGATTTTACATGCAATGAAATAAATCGATTCATGATATCGATACTTTTTTAAATATCGAACATTCCTACAAACAACCAAGATTGATTGGTAGGTTGTTTAATCAATCCCACCATATCCCACCAAAAAACAATCAACTGTTTAGCACAAAATGTAAACAAACAAGCAAATGCAACAACAATTTCAAGGAACAAGCAGCAGTGCTGCCAATTGTTTGGCATATTTAAACAAAGCTGATCTGAAACCCAACGAAAGTTAAATGGCATTTAAACTACAATCTACAATTAAATTTAAGTGCCATTTAAATATTCATTTGAAATTGGCCCTAAGGGCGAAAGTTAAATGGCATTTTATTTAAATGGCACTGAATATTTAAATGGTACTTAAGTTTAGTTGTGAACAACAATTTCATTCAGAATAAAACAAAATGCTTTACTATCATGAAAATTCATTGAAAAAAATTTCTCTTTTGTTTTTAAAACATTAAAATCTAAAGATGATGTAAATCTGATGCCACATAAAACTTTGTGGCTTTGCGTGGCATTTATTACTACATTTATGCGACAGAATTCATGAATACTTCATTTTATAAATTCAAAAATGGTCCCGTTTATGCATATTTCGCGAATTCGTGAAACAAAATGCTTTGAAACAGTGGCAATGCACTGGCGAGAAACTAAACAGTAGGATTGTGACTTTTTTGGCCTCCTTTTGAATTTGCAAAACCCGTTGGTACCAGGCAATGAACAATACCATATTTAAATTGGCTTTAATATATTTTCAGTTTATTCGTTTTGAATTTATTTTATATATCAACAGTTCCACATATATTTTCCAGTGATTTAAATTCTGGTTATGGCACTCATGCTTTTTAATATATAAACGTCATAACCCTAGTAATTGCATAGCTGTTTGTGGAACGTGGCCTTCCCGGACTGGAACCTCACGATTTCATGAAATTATGCTGAATTCATGGTTAACTTTCGTGTATAATTGAATTCATGAAAAGGTGTTCACGCAGCCAATTTTAACCCAAATTCATGAAATGAATTCGTGAACTAGCCCACGTATAAATGTAGTATATAACTTTTCCAGCAAAGCGGCAGACGCAAAAGGTATGCCACAATGAACACCAAGAAAACAACTTTGTACCGCTTTTTACTTGTGAAAATTGCTGTGGATTTTATACAAGGTACATTAAAAATAGGTAGGAGCCAATTTGACGTCAAACTTTCAAAAGTCAAGGTTTTCAGGAGAGTTAAAATAAGAATGAGCGTGTGTAAGGAAAAACAAAAAACTATATTTCACTGGCTGACGTTTTCAAATAAATTTTAAATATATATTTATTTATTAATATTGTTTAATGTAAATTGGTTTATCTTTTATTAAGCTATCACAACTGGATTGATGTGTTCCAGTGTTGTTCGAGGGTCTTTCCGGTAGCGCTACGTCACAGCTGCTTTCCCAACGTCCCTTCCGCGAAACACATTGAGAGACGTTTAAAAAATTAGTGGATATTTGACACCTCATAAAAACCAGCCCCTCAGGTGTTGCATTTTTGATATGTGTACATTTGTATGTTCGAGATAATATTAATTATTACACGTTAGTATAAACAGCACAATTACTTATACACCAAAGTAAACTGCACAGCACTGCAAAAATTCAAATTTTTATTAAAATTTGCTATTAACAAACATTCAAAACAAAAGGACACGTCATTCCAAGAGTAACACCATATTGAAAAATAAAAACAAAACAAGTTGAAGTTTGTAAGTTTGGTTCTCAGGAGAGCAACGTCAAAATGGCTTCTACATGTATTTATGTGCCGTGGGTGCAGTGTTGCCATTTTAGCCGTTTTCCGGCTATATGTAGCCGGTTGCGATAGCAAACAGCCGGAGAAATTTCGGTTTAGCCGGAAGCCGATTTGTTAGCCGTTTTGTAAAAAAAAATTAGCCGTTTTTAGTCGATTTTGTTATTTGCCTTGTTTTCTTAAAATTCCAATATATATGTTTCCATTCTTGAATAAGCGATCCAAAATCTGTTAGAAATGGCTACTAGCGTTATCGCGGAGGCAGGGTTATATAAAATTGGGCAGATTTCGCTTATTTTTATTTTAAACGAATATTTTTTTCTTCTAAGGCCGTAACGGGGATTTTCTTCATAAAATGTTTGTTATCAATGACTTAAATTTAAGTGTGAATTTTTATTCGCAAATTTAGAAAATTAAAAATTTTTTCACTGTTTGCTTAACACGCATTTGTTACCACGTTTATACGTAAGCTATTTGCAAATAAAAATAAATTGCAAATACCTAACTCACTGTTTATTCGATGGCGAAAGTTTTGTATTTAATATTGCCTGAATATAAAAAGGCAATAATATGACCATCGAAAAACAAAATAAAGTTAAAATTGGCAACGTCTCGATTATAAAAAGGCAATAAGATGACCATCTAAAAAGAAAATAAACCTAAGAATGGCGGCGTCTTGCGCTTATTTGCAAATAGTATCACTAATCAATACTTATTCGCGTGATTTAGTTATTTGCAAATAAAAAACTAACTCAGCGTTTATACGGCAAAATTTACCATTTGCAAATTGTTATTTGCAAATAATACGTGCGTATAAACGTAGTATGTGTTTGGATATAGTGCCAAGAATAAATGTTACAGGTATTGTCTTCCCAGATAGCGCATATTTAATTCTGCCTTAATTACAAAACATCATTGTTGCCCACGCTTAAAGTTTTAAGGTGAGGGAAAAATGGATATTTTCAAGCACTATGTACACATATGGATTTATTTAAACTAACTTTTTTCCTGAGAACTTATTTGAATTCTAAAAACCGAAGGCCAACTTGTGTTAAAAGAACCAACACTGAAATGCGTAAAAATGAAAGTAAAAGAGCACAAATTTCTATGTAAAGCAAAGCTCTTTAGGAAGACAATAGGCTTGTTCGTCGAAAATCCAGCGAAAATTATCACTCAAAATATCAGTTAGTAAGAAAAAATGCTCCCAAATTCTCTCTCAAGTAGCGAAACTTGAAAATCTCTGCACGAACGCAAATTGCAGGAACTTGCAAGTTTCTCTGCCAGCTAGTGTCCACGGTTGGATTTAAAAGATAAGAAATTTGTATAGAATTTTAAAATTCTTTCAGAGGGACAAAAAACAGGATCTACATGTATATTTATTGCTAGTCCGACTTTCTTCGACATACGTTTCAATTTCTTTGCCCTACTAACTGTCGCGTTTCCTATATCGACTCCGGTTGAGATTGCGTTACGAGTACGTTTCAAATCATTGGAATTAACTAAGTTAATTAAGTAAACAAGTCTTTACTTAAATTTTTCATTTTAAAATCGCTCAAGTTTGTAAATTTTTAAATAAGACGAACCTATTTATTCAAATTATTGTCGACAAAAAATGCAACCATGTGCCACAATCATATGTTTTTCTTAATTGCAAATTCTTGCCACCAAAATTTTTGCAGCTTGAATTCGCAACTTCTCTCCAAGAACTAGTCTTTTTACTTATGATTTCTTTAAATAAAACATGTGAAATTTAGTTGGAACAGTTTAGCCGGTTTTAGCCGGTTTTTAGCCAATTTAGCCGGTTGGTCCAGATAGTTCTGGGAACACTGCTTGGGAGTTATATATTTAGTTTTGAAAATGTCAGCAATGTAATTAAATTTTATGTTTCTGCATGAAAACTCTAATTTGGACGAAACATATTATATATTAAACCAGCTGATGTTCAACGCGCGCAAAAAGATGCGAGTTGGCTGGGGTAGGATTTCCTTTACGGCCGATTTTGTGTCACATATTACGACGGAATGGGTGGGCCGAAACTAATGTTTATTACATACACTTAGCAACGTTTTTATATAATACACGTT